GCCTGTATGGTTAGGCACCCAGTTACAGAGACAACGGAGTCAGGGTGCACCAATTTATAGGCTCTGATTTAATTGATTTCCTTGGGATTAGCTAATCCCCATGTGAAGCCAATCTTATCTACATCACCAACGGTCTAAAAATCAGCTACTGTCTTGTTCTGCACTGCTGTGACAGAAGAGAACAGCAGTGCAGAAGACTGACAGATTGACCCACCTGGTCATGTCTGCATCTTTGCAGTTAACAAAAGTCATACCACTGTTGCCAACTCAGCCACTTTCTTGATGTGGCTGAGTTGGCAACAGTGGTATGACTATTGGCTGATACCAATTTTTTTGTCTGAAATGTTGCTACATCTATATGTAGCAACATTTCAGACAAAAAAATTGGTATCAGCCAAAATCACAACTGGCAAGTCAGGCTTTTCAACGTAATCAGTTCTCGGCCAAAAAATTACAATTCAAGCACCCCTAGTTTTTTCCCATTATGATGTGTTGGAAACCATTTTTATTCACAAACTGATCAGATCTAATTCCTAAGCATTCCTTGTGCTGGAGAAACCACTGTTGGAGATGTCACATTGTTTGTGCTGAAAACATCACTCTCAAACGGCCTGCCTGCAGTAAAAGTCAGAGCTGATCAGATAAGAACTCATCTCCATTACAAATGTAAGATCTGAATCCCAAAACCTTGTCTTTGGAGTCAACCTCCAACTGAGGTACAAGAGCTCTGAACCTTTTTCTTTCAACTTGGCCAGGAAGAACTTCTACTTCAAAACATGCACAGAGAGATCAGTGATCGGCCAATATACATGTCAAGCCTATCTTATTGTTAGGTAAATTGTATTATTATCAACTATTTGTTATACTGTTTTATATGTTTTTGTTAGCCTTATGACCATCATAACTTGCTTTAAAAACAAACTCTTGTTTAAAACAAACTCTTATTTGTTTTAGTTATATCTTTTAAGAAATGTTTCTGTGTTGTTGATCACTCTGATTTCTTTTCTCAGAGGGCCTCTCTGAAGAAGAGCAGAGACAGCAGTTCTTCGCAGAACGCCCTGCTTTTGACCTTTTAGATAGCTGTAGAATCGTCGCCATGAAGATTCACAACTTGTCCTGTTTGATCCTGGGTCAGGAACTAGATAAGCTAGTGTGAGATAGATTGTGTTGTTAGTTAGCTATAATCTTGGCGCTGTGACTGTGTGATGAAGTGTCTTTTCCCCTCCCCTTAGAGTTACAGCGCTCTCTGTGATTAGGGATCCTAAAGACAATATAAAAAGAGAGGGGCAGGCAAATGTGCTTCAGAGCAGTAGGAGATTTGTAACTGAAAGCACATCTCTGCCTGTTCTCCTCGCGAGTATTCAGAATCTAACTTCTTTCTCTTGTCTTTCCTGTGTTATGTGCTGTGTGTAATAGGTGTCAACTCTGACATAATTTGGTCCTTCGAGCCGGATCTCAACATACCGGAAGGATTCCGGCAGGTGTGGCGTATGCCAGTAGAGACCGTGCACGGCAAGCTTCCTAGTGGAAGCTTTTCAGAACCTGTTCAAGGGCTGGCACTCTGCCTGCCTGCTGGGATCTGAAGGTTGACAAGACTCCGAGGAAAGACAACAAGGGTGAGTGATTCTTCACTTATCCATCGATCTTCTCTACCACAGCAAAAGTTTAAAATATCAGCCACAGTCTTCTGTGAGAGGTTTGACTTAAAGACCGGCCCATCAGGTCATGTCTGTTTATTTGCAGTTAACAATAATCACTCCAATTTTGCCAACTCAACGACTTTCTTGCTATATTTAGCAACAATTCTGATAAAAAAAAAAAAAAGTGGCATCAGCCAAAATCAGAATCAGCAATCAGGCTTGTTAAAGATCTGCAAACAGCGATCGGCCAGAAAACTGTAATCGGGGCAGCCCTACTTAAGAAGGAATAGATATACATATATTCATGACGTACTTTGATTAAATTAATTTCTCTTATTAAAGCTATACTAGGTGAGTCTTTGTCACATGGAATGTGAACCAGACTGGGCTGATTCTGTGTCTTCAAATAATTTTAACAATTCCTGGAGAAGTTTCACATAACTTATAAGTTGATGGCAAAATTAATGTTTATTGTAGTCACATAAATGATCATGCTCAGCAGCAAACAACATATTGCCAACTACAGTTTAGAGTCACTCATTGACATATTAATGTAGTAGCCATTTAGCCTGATGTAAAACCATTTTGCTAGACAATGTCAAATATTGAGAAGTTTTAATTATTGTTATCAAACATGCCATTTTAAGCCAAAAACCCCACAGAATATAAAGAGCCAACCACAAGAATCAACTCATTTAAAGTTAAAACTCAGTTTCACACAAATACAAAGACTAGCATAAATTATTGGCTGTTGAACTGGACCGTTCAAGGTCTCCATCAAGCTGATTTTCTATTAGCAGCTACACAAATCTTTTTAATAAACATT